ATCGCATATATCAGCTCAAACTAGCCCAATGGGACTAAGCTTTATTATCTTTCTACTAAACCCTTCCAACACCTAAAGTTTCTACAATTTGCTCCAAATCAAGATTCAAAATTCTACATCAGCCATCAATTATAAATTTTATCAATCCGAATCACTTAAAATTTATTCCTAAAACTTATTTTCTAAATTAGTTCAAATTAAACATAAACTAGTCTAGCCTTGGTATTCTTTACACCAAATCACTATAAACCACCCATCCTTGTATTAAAAAAAAATCTAACATCCTAACATATGAAACCAAAAAATTCTTCTAATTTCATGCATTATTCCACCAAAAAGAGCATATTGGTGCCATGATATTTGGTATCTGGCCAAAACTTAAAATGTGAAATTTTAGCTAAAACATTTTTTTTAATAAAAAGGTTTCTTTTCTTATAGTCAAGTTGTATTCAAGCTTTTGAGTTATTCTATATAATTTTAGGGTCAGCTAATTACATTTTGATGAAATTTTAACTTTTTATTGATAGATTGAAAGAAAAGTGCATTACTTGCAAAAGATTGAAAGAAAAATGCATTACTTGCAAAGGTGAGAGCATAAATTAAGAAGTTGTTATATTATTGTTATTATTATTATTATTATTATTATTATTATTATTATTTGTAATACTGTATTTATGTTTTTCATTGTGGACTTAAATGAATTTTTTTTTAAAAAAGAATAAAATTCAAATTTTAAGGTTTTTATGTGGATTAATAAAAATACAAAATGAATAAGTAATTATATGACTAATAATGAAGTTATTTTTTTTTCTATAGATTTTTAAGGTTTTGTGCATTAGGCTCACTCCCCTTACCTCCTTCATTGAAAAGGAGGGGTTTCCTCTTCTCTTCCTCTTTTCCTCTCTTTCCATGTTAGATTTAGGTTTTATGTTTTGAATATTCATTAGTTTAATTTCTTAATGAAAGATATTATTATTCATGAAATGGTCCCTTTAATTTTGGATATTAAAATACAAAATCGAAAAAGGTTGCAAGCTTTTTTTAGTTGAATAAGATTGCAAACTTTGGAGAAACACTTGTGAAAGAAAGATTTTCTTTATTTATAATTTGAGCAATCTTATTTATTATGATAATCTCATTGTTATGCAGTATATTGTTATGTTATATAGTAAATCTGTGTATCGATTAACAATTTTTTGAACCATGTGCTATGCCTCTAATTAGTTGGCTTTATAAATTGACCTAATCTTTTTCTATAATCTACCATTAGAACTCATTTGATTTGTTAGGTACTTTCTTTTTTAAAATTGATCATACTCTAAGACTCTAAATTTGTTATTTTTCATGAACTAATAATCATAACTTATCAATGTCAACAAATTTTAAGTAGCTCAGTTATTGAATGTTTCATTATCCATGTCATTTTGCATCATTTATAAATCTTACAAAAAATATACATAATTAAATAAATATTTTTAATTTGATTAATATCTTGCAAAACTGCATTATTTGTACACCTTGAATCTACTAGCATGATAAGTCGCCAAAATAAACTAATATTGGAGCAATTTAAGAGGTTGGTCAAAATGATTCAAGAAAGAATTATCATGTTAATACGATAATATATGTCCAAAATTTCTAATGATAAAATAATTACAAAATATAAATCCTACTTAAGATAATGATGTGCTAAATAAACTAAACATTAGGCTATAGGCATCACCTTTAACACCAACCCAAACTCTTCCACCCACGGAACCAAACTTTTAGGCACAACCAAGACAATAGAAACCACTTAAAAGGGATTTGATCAAAATATAAATTGTGAAGCCTTTACTAATCTAAATATAAAAAGACAATGTAGAAGCACCCACATTTAGTAGGGTCAAGGTTATCAAAAAATTTAATGGCTGGCATAGCCAAATGCATGATTTATTTGATTGTTATCAAATGAATGTCATTAAAGTGTGGCTTTTACCTAGATGAAGCTTGTGGGTGCTACAGAAATCTTTTAGAAAAAGTTTTACCGAAGAGAAAGATTAGAAAGTATTATTCTCACTTAGACAGAAATGAAGGAAATACTGAAGCCTAAAAATTATCTCAGAAATCATGATAAAATGCTTCATGGGAAGTTAATAACCATTATGTAACGGTAATATGAATATCACTAAATACATTAACATCTTTGAGGATTTTGACAAGATTTAATATAATGATAATGATTGGTAACTTATCAACAAATTTATTATAGGTTTAATATTGACAGTAAAATGAGATGGAGTTGTAAGACCCTGAAATCCTAGATGGCGCATTATACTATGCTCTCCTCATTAACTGTTAAGGATGTTCTCATTTATCTCTAGGATAATAGTGAAGTCACATGATTACTTTTTCATTATAATTTTTTAGTAGAGATGTTCATTTAATGTTTACTTTTAAAGGATATTATGAAAATCACTTAATATCAAACTTAAGTTATGATTAGCCTTTCATTTACAAATATATGTGCAAATAGAGATAAAATTAATAGAAATAAAAAATACATTAAGAATTAAGATCTTCAATTAACAAATTCTAAAGTTTCTTAGAATAATAAAGTTTTAAAAATTACATACAAATCAACATTTAAAATAATGTATAGTTATAACCCTTATTGATCTATTTATCATTAAATCATTTAAACACTTTCATTTTTTATTCTATGGAATTGCACATAACGTCTCAATTATTTCAATTTTTGTTGTTAATTATTTTCTTACTAATAAGAAATCGTACAAACTTGAGTCTTATGAACCAAATTTTTGTAGACGATGATGATTACTTATTATAGGTGCTAGCTTAGCCAATGTTTTTTTGGTTGAAGGTTTTATTACTGATGAAGTCATACTAAAGCAAAATGAATAAATATGTTACTAATTTTATGAAAGAATCAACCATTTTTTGGGAGCTACTTTGACAATGAGGGAAAAACTAGATGATTGCACCATATTTAGTGCATGGCTAAATTAATTTCAACTTATTAAAATTAGCTCTTCATAGTCTAATGGAGTTGTGATAGAAAATCAAGGGTTGCATAAATCCATAATAACCTTGAATGGGATTTGTGATTATGTTATTCATAAAATTCAAATACTTTTAAATTATAAAAGTGTTTGGATGATGTTGACCAATTGTCACTCTCTTCTTCAGATAAAATTAAAACTAAAATTAAAAGTTATTCCATAATATAATGCATATTTTCAAAAGTCAACCATGGTTATAACAAACTTTCATGGAGTCCATGTAAGGTGGTGTTAACCATCTCTCTCTCTCTTTGATTTCAAAAGCTTCCATGTAAGGTGGTGTTAACCATCTCTCTCTCTCTCTCTTTGATTTCAAAAGCTAGTAAGCTGTTTTTCTTGTTTTATTTTATTTTTATTAAATAAACCATTTGAGATATTATTTCAATTATCGCTGGTTTGAAAAAATTTTCAATTATTTCCTTCGTTCATGATATGGAGGCTTGGTATCTGTAATCTTAATTTTCTTATGCGAGTAATTTATTTACTTGCTATACTCTTTCAGACTCGAGTTCTACGTTTCATCTGAAACAAAAAAAATAATTGCTTCACTCAATCTAATCTCTCAACTTCACCATATTGTCCAAAACGTAAAGCAGAAGCAGTTAATTTTAACCTTAAACATTAATTTTATTCTAACTCCTGTAATTGTAGGTATCTACTTAAACATTAATTTTATTCTAACTCCTGTAATTGTCTTCTCTTTTCTCGAATACCATAAACCCTAATTTCTTGTTCTCAACCTAACACAAATTCACCCAAACTCGTGTTCTCTTTATTACTGTAACTATTAAAATAATTCATTCAAACCCTCTGTGTTAAAAAAAAATATAACATTAGAAACTACTTAGATCTTCCAAAAACTCTCTTAAATCCTTCCCAATCATCTCAAAAGTGAGACATCTAAATAATTTGAAGTACATCACTTCCCTATCAGTTTACTAATTTACACATTATCTTAAGACAGGTTACAATGAGTATAGTTAATAGGATAAATTGATCATCCAATGCATGTCATTATTATTAAGTAATTTGTGAAAGTTGATTAACTTATCCGTCCCTTTGGGATAAAAGAGAGAAAAATGATTGAGAATCTTGATGATTTTATTTATTTACACAAATCAACCCAAACCATATTTTTTGGATTTTAAATCTCACAATTTCGTAAATCCAGATTTCACTGTTTGATAATGTAAATTCCGAATTTATAAAATGCACAAATTTAGCAAAATTTAATTTGACTTGAAGAGGGCTTTCGATGGTGGAAACAGGATAATGAGGGAGCAGTATACAATATAATTGTGGGAGCGATCACATAATGGGAGTATGGCTTAAATAAAGCCACCCATATTCTTCACATAAAGGGAAAGTACCTACCATAATAAAATATAGTCGTTATCATGTCTGAGAATATGCGGATTATATATTAGAATTCATAATAAAAATGGTAAATATTTGATTAAAATTTAAATTATTTTAAGTTACTGTCATGCTAGAAGGAGATATAAACAAACGTTCACATGGTATAAATACACCATAGAGAATAAAATGCTTCATTTTAATTTTTAATGTCAGTTAAATTCTCACAGAAGATACCAATCAATTTAAGTTAATGTAATTAGATTTATTAAAACACAAGTCAAATAATTTTTCAGATTTATCATCCAAAACTTGCGAAATGAACGGATAAAATTTACACCGATATTGAGGTTATACCGAGAATACAAGGGGTTACATCCGCGGTATAACCCCTTATAACGTCCCTGTAACTTTCTGTAACATATTTGTATCCTAAAATAAGTTTCACGCTTCTGTTATCATTTATTAAGATGTTACATATAAATTATAGGAAGATTATAAGAAGATTACAAAGACATATCATTGAATATACCCCAACATTAGCAGAATTTTTCACCGACGAACACATGATTTACAGCATCCCTAGAGTGAAAAGCTCGTCTAAAGCATCCATTACCACAATACAACCCTGGAGAGCAATCAACGCTTCGACTTCCACCCTCGAAAAGCTTAAGATGGTGCGGGCTTACAAGCATGAACATGTCTACCGCCACCCCTGGGACCGCGTCACCACCGCTTCCTGGCGCAAGTTCACCGATCCCGATACCCCCGCCGTCCTCTCACACGTCCTCGACGTTCACACCCTCTCTCGCCGCCTCGACGCCACGTCCGGATGCCTCCACACCGTCCGATCCATCACCGTTCGATCTCCCTCCCTCCCCTTCTTTCTCCGCCGCATCATTGGCAGTGAGGCTGTCGTCTGCCACTGCATCGAAACATCCGTCGTTGACCCCCGTGTAAGATCCATGGAGATCGTCGCCGTTAATGCCAGCCTTCGAGGCCTTATCGAGGTCGAGGAGAGATCTTCCTATCGGCCTCATCCAGAAAATCCCGAGGGGTGGACGCTATTAAAGCAGGACACTAGCATTCGTTGCAAGCCTTTTAAGGCGCTGGCTGCCGTTGCTGAGAAGGTTGAGCAGCGCTGCGTTGAGCGGTTTCAGCAGAATAGCGTGAAGGGTCGGGAGTTCGTTGAGCGGATCTGTAAGTACCTGGAAGCGGAATCCTCGGCTTCCGCTGCAGTTTCCACAGCGTCATGATGAGAATTGTCTGACAGCTTGGTATAAGGTGATCTGACTCTCTGATTGGGGAATTTAATTTTGTAAACCGAGAACTTGGACATGTCCATCTTTTCATGAATTTTTATTAGTATTTGATCTCGTTTCTGAGCGAAGTTTTGGAGTATCCAGAGGTCTAGGCATCTCAATCTGAAATTTTATGTCACATATATGTTGCAAATTCTAGTTCAAGTAAATGATGAGATTATTTCTTTGGTTTGTCGAAGGTTAGTGATGTATGTTTATACCCTTCTGCTTTGTAATCTTTCCATCCTGAATGTGGAAATGATGAATTTGAACATATTAATGTTGTGTGTTGGAGAGGTTCTTGAACTTATATAGTTTGTTAACTTCTTAGCGTGATTCGAGCTTCTCAGAGCACTCACAGTAGAAGAAATGAGGATTTTTTACGTCTAAAATCTATAGGGTAAAAACCTTCTGGGCTAGTCTAGTCTAACAATTTTCATTATTTTTTGTAGAAAATCAATGCTATGATGGTTTTACTTTGAGCATTTAGAGGGACTTCAATTAAAGCATCTTTTGTGTTGTTAAAAATTTTACATTGTTGGTGCTCAGATAAGTCCTCATGTGTTTTTGTTGTGAATGTGATAGGAATGTGCAATGGTGGGGTTGACAACATCGTTATATAACAAAAATAACTACATATCCGTGTATCTGGGTACAATTTGTTGTGCCGTGCTTGTTTAGATCTTGAACATTGTTTGGTCTTCATATGACAAGGGGCAGTTTGGGAATGATGACTATTGATGGGAGCGCAACAAGTGCAATTTAATAGGAAATATTTAGAGCTCTTTCTATTGTAGAAAAAACTTGTCGAATGAGCTATAAAGGAACCTTTTTTAAGACGTGAGAAATATTTTAGTCTTTATCTATATATTCTTTATTAGCCAATGTTGCCCCTCGGTTGACTTGGGTTGATGAAGCATCCTGTGGCAACCATTTTTGATGATGTCTTGAATCAACAGTTTGAATATACTACATCATAAACAATGTACTCAATTGTGTATTTGATGTGTTGATCTGGGGGGAACAATTTCAAGAAAGTTGTCACTTGAAATTGATGATAATGTTGTAATATCCTTAATTCAAAAAAAAAAAAAAACCCCTTAGCATAGCTTAACCCAAATCAGGCTAGTTTGGCTCAAGCATAATGAGCATTCCTCTTCCCAATTGTTATGAGGCACACTTTAACACAAATTGATAAAAAATTTTGTAATATTCATCTTTTAGAAAAAAAAAAAAAAACGTATTTCAGTTTAACCCAAATCAAATCATATTGGATTGGTCTAACTTGAGTAAAGTGATGATTTATCTCCTTTTTTATTTGTAGGAGAGAGGCACACTTGAACCATTCCTTGCAAATGATTGGATACGTAAGGAGTGAAGGTCGTGTGATAGAATGAAAAGAGCTGATTGAGGAGGATGATTGTGGTCCATGATTAGATGCCTATCTCACTCTCATTTCCTATGTCTTTCCCCTCCTTGTATGCTTACTATATGTATTCCCTCTATTTGTTGTGGTTGGCTTGCTACGACTATGTGATTTCCAATGAAATAGTGAGGCGAGGATCTCCTTGTCGTAGAAATCACATATTTGCTTTTGGTTTGAGAAACTTATCCTTCTTGCTTTTATATTTTTGAAACAATTAAAACACGATAATTACATGTATATGTTAATGAAGCAAGTCATTAATTCATATCTTTGTTAATGTGCATTTTTTATGTGATTTTGGATCAATTTTTACAACTTTACGATGAATTGAGGTTTGCTTAATTCACACTCAAATTTGAGGTTTTAGTTAAATTAATCTAACTGATGGAATTTAACTACAAAATTGAGAAAGTAGAGATAAGTCTATGTATGTGTTGAATCCAGTAATGCCCGGGAAACACACTCAATAAATGAAATGTTTTATTAGGAAGTGGTTAAGAGAGAGAAAGAGAGAGCAGTAGTAGACAAACAAAAGGTATTAATTATTCATAATATGGACCCTTATTTATAGGTCTAGGTCCCAATATTATAAAAGTACATATTAGCCCCCTCATCATTATTAACTTTTTAAGGGAGATTTTTGGTAATCACAGAGTTATTTGCATATAATAAAATCGGGGTTCGATTCGATCGATGAGGGTTGTCGATCGTCTGGCAAGCTTTGGTTCGAACGATATATAGTTCGAAAGAGTACTCTCCGTCAATCGTCTTGAAGGCTGATTACCGCCCTACAAGATTTTCTCTTAGCTCTTCTGCTGATTGTTTGCATAAGGAGCTTTCTTCGCCAATACTCACCAGGAAACAATCATCGTTCGCGTATACACTCGATCTCCTGCATCTTTTGAGTCGCCCATCTGCTCATCGTTCGCGTATACACTCGATCTCCTGCATCTTCTTTTGAGTCCATCTGCTTTGAGATCCATGCTGACACATTTTTATGTATGCATATTTAGTTCTCCGATTCTTTTTCTCCTCAGAAGCTGTTCAGGGCACGAGAATAAGAATTTTTAAACACATAAAATAATTAAATGATATTATTGCACAAAAAGGGATTTTCCCGGATTTTCTTGCTAGAGCCATTATAAATAGGCTTTAGAGCAAGAGAGGTATGCACTGCCTTCGTTTCTTTTGATTTCTTTGTCTCGTGTCCTTATGTGTTTTTTGTGATATCTGCCAAAGCTCTATTTTTTGTTAAGAGTGTCCTTTTCGAGGCTATGAGCGAAATATGGGTGCAGATCCACGAGTCAGACGTGAAGCGCAAACCAACAGGTGAGGTATCTACGGAAGGTATGAGTAGGAAAAGAGCTGTCTTCCAGCCTAGAGCCAACGATCGCGAGATCGGGCCTAGTTCTTCTAGTTTTCTTGCAAGCCCTCCTCAGGAGAGGGCTGCAAGATAGGTAAAAGGCCGTCCTGACGAACATCTTATCGGATGCTCACCATGGTGAGTGTTTCTGATGTAGGAGAATGATTGCCCGTCCAGGTGGTTGCATGGGTCGTGGTTTCCTAAAGGACTTCTAAAGAGGCGCGGTTGAGGCCTAGACATGGCATTGGCTGACTAGGAACGGTTTATCTTTTGAAGGAGGAGAACCAGAAAAAGCCGGCGAGGACATTCTCTTTTATGCTACATCTAAATGGGGGCGAACTCTTGGTATGTAGTTTGAATAACTTTTTGCATCTCTCTTTTCAGCAACTGAGGTCCTGACTGTTGAGTATGTATCAGCAGATACCAAAGTTGGTCCTGAAGATTATGCGGCGGCGGACCAGTTTATAGTCGAAGAGACCAATATGGGGTAGTTTGTCGCGGGAAGAGCAGTTAAGGCGGAGTTAAGCGCATCGGAGCAAGATAATGAGCGTGATGTCGATGATCCGGGTGCTAGAGATCAGGGCGCTGGTCGTCAAGTTTTCTCCGGTGCTCCTGGCTTTTTGGGGGGAGATGATTGCCAACTGTGTGGAGTCATGCTTTGGTGTTTGGAGTTGTTGGCCGTTAAAGAGGCCTATGCCACTCAGCCTAGGGACAACCAGAATGACATTTTCAAGCTTGATGGCGAGTTTATATATGAATGGCTTCGCCACCGAGGGTTTTTCTCGGGCGAAGCGCGAACGACTGCTTAGTCTGTTTTTTCCTTACTCTGATGTAATTGAGGGTTCACCGCGGGGTCCTCCATCTTTTTATATTTAAATAAATAAGAAATAAAAGAAAAGAAAATATTTTTTCATTTATGGTAATGATTACTTTACTTTGATGACATGTAATTTTGTCACATCAGTCGTATCGACGTCTTTCGACTTCTTAAGTATCCTTTCTCGCGTATATGTATACATGTGTGGCCGTGCAATTACTGAGGGCTCCTATTTCTTTCCTTTCCTAATTTCTCCTTTCCCCCGGGTCGCACTGTCGTTTCTCCCTTTTTCTGGGTTCGTCGTTCTTTCCTTCTTCTTTCCTGTCTAAAGTGATAGATCATGGTTTACAAAATACTCCCAGAAGTCGTTTGGTTCGATCCCTGCTACAGAGGTTTTGGTTCTTTCTACGGCGGACGTAGAGGACATCCAAGATCGTTGTGTTCTGGATTCTACAACTCTCCTACAACCAACCGACAATCATGAACGAGCCACAGATTACTTCTCTCTTGATATTCTCTTCTACAAGGATTACTTTAAGATGGGTCTTCGACTATTGTTTTGTCAAGAGCCACATTTGATCTTCAATCGTTATGGCATTATTCCAGCTCAGATACTTCCTAACTTGATCGCTGCTATTATGACCTATGTGCTCTTCTGTCGGATGATGAAGATCCCATGATCAATCGAACTCTTCAACCATTTATAATCCTTTCAGATTGGTTGTGATGGTTACATTCAATTCGCCACCGGTACCAAGATTCAATCTGATGGGGCTAGAAAATAAAGTGAAAGACTGGAAGACAAAGTTCCTGATCATCTCGTTTGCGGGCGGATGGGGAATGCGCTCTTCTTCTACTGTTTGCAGGGTGAAGAAAGTAAAGACCCTGCCCGGGAATGTTTGGGACCATAGAGCGTTGATTGAGGGCTAGTGCCTCTCTCTGTTTTAGTACCTCGACCCCAACATGATTAAACAAATGTTTCGTTTGGATGTTGTCGATATTATGACTGAGGAATTGTGGAGACCTGTCAACGACAGAGAGGTCGCTCAGGACAGAGCTGCCGGGGAGAGGATGGCTTTGAAGAGGCCCCGTGGAAGAGGCGCACCTTCCTCATTCGACAGAGGTCGGGGTTGGTCCGACATTGTCAGGTCGGCTGAGGGGAATGATAAAGGTTGGTATCACTTATCTTCTTGTTTGTTCGTGTGCGAAATGCATTTTCATGACTTTTGTGTACTTTGTCAGGTTCTTTGGAAGGGAGCGAGGGGCACTCTTCCTGTTCTCCTAGGTTTCCTGAATCCGGAGGTCCATCGATGCGTCCATAGATTGGAGGGGTTTTGGTAGCTATTGGGGGGTGGGGGAGGGCCTCGATCATTCTTCTTCGGGAGCGAGGTGAGGTGATTCGTGCCTGCCGTCCAATCTCCGTCGAAATCGATTTTAAGGAGGGATGGGAGATCATGGATTGGACAGAGAGCAACACCCCTCGGAGGGAAGGAAAGGCTCCTCTCCCCAATGTTAACTTGTCCCAACCCTGCTGTGCAAGAGGGGGCGGTTTAGCCTGAGTAGTCATTCACACACGTTCAAGGAGCTAATGTTTTAACGAGTGGTCACATCGCTCGCATTGATAGGGAGATCGAGTGGTTCCTTGCCAACGCCCTGAATGACAACTATCCCTCTATTCTAATTGACATA